GGCTCTTATCCCCGTGGCCCGTGCTCCACACAGTAAGTCGACAAATTCCTTGGGAGACTTCAAGCTGAAAGCACAGGGTACGTAAGGCGTCAGCAACCCGTTGAGTCGCTTAGCCAGTCTGTATGTGGGTGTGGGTGATGATTGGCCGAAGAGGGTTTCCTGGCTTGTGGGTCTTGACATTTCCATAGGCATACCCAGGTTTGTATTCCCCAACAACTTTTGGCAGGTGGATCCGGCCAATCGGGATGATAGCAGACAGAGTATATCGTGACCTGGCTTGCACTCCTCTTGACATGCAGAATGCATACTGAGGACACTACTCCAAGTCTGCACTAAAGAGGCACCTTTCGTGAGCCCAGATGGGCACATGTATAATCAAGTAAATGGGGTCGCTATGGGTGGTGTCCTAGGTGTCCTGCTTGCGAACGTCTACATGGGCACCATCGAGCAGAGGGTCTTAGTTGACATGGGCTTGAAACCCGCCATATACTGCAGGTATGTTGACGACATTTTTACACAGGTACCTGATGCCAGATGTCTGCAGCAGCTGAAGGAGGCATTTGAGCAGAATTCTGTGTTGAGTTTCACATACGAGATGGAGAACAATGGGAAGCTGCCATTTCTGGATGTAACAGTCACAGAAAGGAGCGAAGGCTTCCATACTGCAGTCTACACCAAAGAAACAAACATAGGAATGTGCCTCAATGTCAATAGTGACAGCCCAGACAGGTACAAGAGGAGTGTTGTCAATGCTTACGTCGACCGTGCTCTAATCCACAGCTCAGGATGGAAAAAGTCGATGAAGAACTCTGTAGGGTAATGCAAGTCCTAGTCAACAACGGCTTCTCTAACGGTTTCGTTGAAGACATCATAAAAAGAAAGGTAAAACGCCATGTAACTCTGAAGAGTCAACCAACACAACACTTGTACCTCCAATTAGACTATTTTACAGGAACTCCTTTTCGACGGCTCATAAAACGGAGGAAAGGGTCCTGAAAGATATTGTTGATAGGAACGTCATCCCAACAGACAAAAATCAGAAAATGCAATTGAAAATTTATTATAAAACCAAAAAAACGGCCAATCTACTCATGAAAAACTCACCAGACAACAAGCAGAACGCTTTGAAGGAGACCAGCGTCGTCTATGCTTTTAAATGCCCACTTGGGAACTGTAAGCCCCAAAGAACTTAGTATATAGGCAAGACAAAAATGTCTCTTTCTAGGCGACTAACAATGCATAAGCAACAGGGAGCCATCAAGGAACACATAATCTCTTCTCACAACCAGACCATCACCAGAGAAATCTTAACAAACAACATAGAAATCATCGATAGGTACAGCGATAGTGTTACTGCCCTACTGGGACACAACCGGGTTCTTTTCTGATGGTAATAGTTTTTTGGGGTATCCGGCCCCAAGTTAGTAGAGGCTTTCAAGGGGTAAGCTCCGTAACGCAAGTTAAAACAAACGGGGAGGTACATTAAATACACAAGTATAATAATTTATATATATATATTCCTTTTCCTATATATTCCTTACATATATATATATATATATATATATATATATATATATATATATATATATATATATATATATATATATATATATATATATATATATATATATATATATATATATATATATATATATATATATTAGTATATTTTGGTAGCAGTCTTTCCTGTAGACATATATTATTAAATATGACCGAAAAAGTAAGATTATTAATTCTAACACGAATTTTCTCAATCTTTCGTATATTTCTTTTCACTGTTGGTGGTAATTCAAAAATCAATTCTCCAAAATTCATTTTTATTTCTAGTCTGACGCGACACTTGAGCGCGTTTCGTAAAACTTATTACATTTTCAAAGACTTTAGCTTACACATACACAACTGAATAGAACTTACACATCTCCGATTTGTTTATATCTACATTTGAGTGAGGTGGATGGGGTGAGGTGGTATTAATAAGGTATTAAATTCATCAACACAAGACAGAACACGAAACAATGGGTATTGAATGGAAGTGATTGTAGAAAGCCTATTGGTCCACATTACTTGATGCTTCTATATTGGAGCGGAGTCTTGAGGTGGGTAGAATATAGTTGTGCATTAATTGGCTGTTGATTGCTGGTGTTGACTTTTTAATGTGTAGTGTAGCAAATGTGTAGCAAACTTATTGAGTACTGAACAGTAAATTATTGTTTTTATATTGGGAGGACAACATACACACCTGTGTCACTAATGGGACGACAACATACACACCTGTGTCACTAATGGGAGGACAACATACTCAACTGTGACACTAATGGGAGGACAACATACACACCTGTGTCACTAATGGGAGGACAACATACACACCTGTGTCACTAATGGGAGGACAACATACACACCTGTGACACTAATGGGAGGACAACATACACACCTGTGTCACTAATGGGAGGACAACATACACACCTGTGTCACTAATGGGAGGACAACATACTCAACTGTGACACTAATGGGAGGACAACATACACACCTGTGTCACTAATGGGAGGACAACATACACACCTAGGACTCTAATGGGAGCACAACATACACACCTGTGTCACTAATGGGAGGACAACATACACACCTGTGTCACTAATGGGAGGACAACATACACACCTGTGACACTAATGGGAGGACAACATACACACCTGTGACACTAATGGGAGGACAACATACACACCTGTGACACTAATGGGAGGACAACATACACACCTGTGTCACTAATGGGAGGACAACATACACACCTGTGACACTAATGGGAGGACAACATACACACCTGTGTCACTAATGGGAGGACAACATACACACCTGTGACACTAATGGGAGGACAACATACACACCTGTGTCACTAATGGGAGGACAACATACATAGCTGTGACACTAATGGGAGGACAACATACACAGCTGTGACACTAATGGGAGGACAACATACACACCTGTGACACTAATGGGAGGACAACATACACACCTGTGACACTAATGGGAGGACAACATACACACTTGTGTCACTAATGGGAGGACAACATACACACCTGTGACACTAATGGGAGGACAACATACACACCTGTGACACTAATGGGAGGACAACATACACACCTAGGACTCTAATGGGAGCACAACATACACACCTGTGTCACTAATGGGAGCACAACATACACACCTGTGTCACTAATGGGAGGACAACATACACACCTGTGTCACTAATGGGAGGACAACATACTCAACTGTGACACTAATGGGAGGACAACATACACAGCTGTGACACTAATGGGAGGACAACATACACAGCTGTGACACTAATGGGAGGACAACATACACACCTGTGACACTAATGGGAGGACAACATACACACCTGTGACACTAATGGGAGGACAACATACTCAACTGTGACACTAATGGGAGGACAACATACACAGCTGTGACACTAATGGGAGGACAACATACACAGCTGTGACACTAATGGGAGGACAACATACACAGCTGTGACACTAATGGGAGGACAACATACATAGCTGTGTCACTAATGGGAGGACAACATACACACCTGTGACACTAATGGGAGGACAACATACACACCTGTGTCACTAATGGGAGGACAACATACACACCTGTGTCACAAATGGGAGGACAACATACACACCTGTGACACTAATGGGAGGACAACATACACACCTGTGACACTAATGGGAGGACAACATACACACCTGTGACACTAATGGGAGGACAACATACATAGCTGTGACACTAATGGGAGGACAACATACACAGCTGTGACACTAATGGGAGGACAACATACACACCTGTGTCACTAATGGGAGGACAACATACACAGCTGTGACACTAATGGGAGGACAACATACACACCTGTGACACTAATGGGAGGACAACATACACAGCTGTGACACTAATGGGAGGACAACATACACACCTGTGTCACTAATGGGAGGACAACATACACACCTGTGTCACTAATGGGAGGACAACATACACACCTGTGACACTAATGGGAGGACAACATACACACCTGTGACACTAATGGGAGGACAACATACACACCTGTGACACTAATGGGAGGACAACATACATAGCTGTGACACTAATGGGAGGACAACATACACAGCTGTGACACTAATGGGAGGACAACATACACACCTGTGTCACTAATGGGAGGACAACATACACAGCTGTGACACTAATGGGAGGACAACATACACACCTGTGACACTAATGGGAGGACAACATACACAGCTGTGACACTAATGGGAGGACAACATACACACCTGTGTCACTAATGGGAGGACAACATACACACCTGTGACACTAATGGGAGGACAACATACACAGCTGTGACACTAATGGGAGGACAACATACACACCTGTGTCACTAATGGGAGGACAACATACACACCTGTGACACTAATGGGAGGACAACATACTCAACTGTACCACTGTAGTAGGTTGGGTTAAATACACAGCTATATATAAACACTCTATATACTGGTATCGTGGTAACTACTCGGGTCCATTTTTAAAATAGCATTCAATTATTGTGAAGGTTTGAAGAGCTGAATGACCCAAATTTTCACGAGAATACCAGACGGTGAAGAAGGATGAACTTTTGAAGGACAAAAGTGAATGACCCTAACAACACACAACAGTTGCCTAATTCAATTTAACTCACCTAACTAACTCGTTGCCTTTATACTTCTAGATGAACAGTGCCATTAGGTGAAATAAAACATACCCAATCCTCTCTGTCCAGCCCAAGGATCGAACAAGGGATCCCTGATTGTTCGTCGAGAATGTTAGGATTTTACAGTGTGTAAACGTTCATTATCCTCTTAACAGAACTTAAATCAAATTATAGATGTTGGATAAAAATGTGTACACACAGATTTTAAACACTCGGATGCCTTATGATAATCATTTGTGTATAATTCAATCTTTTTTTTTGGTTCCAGAGGGACGACAGTCATGGGACGGAGCCGCAAACTGTCCAGTAAGCTCCTCAAACCGACAGCTGAGAACCGACAATCGGCTGATGAGAAACAGTGTAACGAGGATGAGCAACACACTGGGAAACATCAGGAGAATGGAGACATACAACAGGCCGGCGAGCACCAACAGGCTGGTGGTGCTCTCACCAAAACCAAAATCCATCGCTGTAACATCTGCCAGTTGACATTCGCCACAACATTAAGCTTTGAAAGACACATGAAGAGACATGAAGCAAACAAACCACATGAGTGCCAAGACTGTGACAAGAAATTCGTAACAAAATCTGGCCTCGATATTCACAGAAGAAAACACACAGGTGAAAGACCATACAAGTGTGACAATTGCTCAAAGGCCTTCACAACACGATCAGTACTCATTATGCACATGAGAGGCCACACTGGTGAGAAACCTTATGAGTGCAATACTTGTGGTGCAAGGTTCACTCAGAGTGCAACTCGAGCTGACCACATGCGGCGTCATACAGGAGAAAAACATTACCAATGTACCACTTGCCCAGAAAAATTTGTTACGAGAATAAATTATCGTTGGCACATATTGTTGTGTCAAAGAAAAAGTAAGATTGAGTGTAAAATATGTAAAAAAATAATTTACCTCCAACCTTAAACTTAAAAACCATATGGTTAAACATTCAAATGAAAGACCATTTGAATGCGGAGAATGTGGAAGAAAGTTTAAAAGCAAAATTTCGGTGGCAAGTCATCTAAAATCCGTACATTCAAATGAAAAACCTCACAATTGTGACATATGCATGAAAAGATTTGCAGTAAGAAGTTCTCTTATCTTGCACACGATGACTCATACTAATATTGGCAGAGTTCAGTGTGAACAATGTGGAAGGATGCTCAACTCTAAAAGACATGTACCACCCACAAATGAGGCCGGCATTCACATTGCACATCTACTAGACCAGCTACCAGAAATCCAAATCCTAAACAAGAATGAACCCACCCATATCCAAGGAGGTAGATTAGACCTTCGTTTTTATATATATATATATATATATATATATATATATATATATATATATATATATATATATATATATATATATATATATATATATATATATATATATATATATATATGTGTGTGTGTGTGTGTGTATCATGAAAATAAACACGTGATTAAAAATGTGACAGTGTCAGACCACGGAGGAAAATTGAAACAGGAATTTCCTTAAGTACTTTCGTATATTAATGCATCTTCAGAAGGAGTGAAGACTCCTTCTGAAGATATATTAATATACGAAAGTACTTAAGGAAATTCCTGTTTAAATTTTCCTGCGTGGTCTGACACTGTCATATATATATATATATATATATATATATATATATATATATATATATATATATATATATATATATATATATATATATATATATTTGTTACGAGATATGTATATATATATATATATATATATATATATATATATATATATATATATATATATATATATATATATATTTGTTACGAGATATATATATATATACACACACACTTATATATATATATATATATATATATATATATATATATATATATATATATATGCGAACAAGCCTGAATGGTCCCCAGGACAATATGCAACTGAAAACTCACACCCCAGAAGTGACTCGAACCCATACTCCCAGAAGCAACGCAACTGGTATGTACAAGACGCCTTAATCCACTTGACCATCACGACCGGACATAATGAGGTGATAGCCGAGGCTATTTGAACCACCCCACCGCCGGCACTCGGACCGGCGGTGGGGTGGTCAATTTGGGGTCAATCACCCAAAGAATGAGGTGATTTGGTAAAATGCTATGCCCAAGATTACTATCCGAGTGCCGGTGGTGGGGTGGTTCAAATAGCCTCGGCTATCACCTCATTATGTCCGGTCGTGATGGTCAAGTGGATTAAGGCGTCTTGTACATACCAGTTGCGTTGCTTCTGGGAGTATGGGTTCGAGTCACTTCTGGGGTGTGAGTTTTCAGTTGCATATTGTCCTGGGGACCATTCAGGCTTGTTCGCATTTGTGTTCCTCACGTGTGCCCCAAAGAATGAGGTGATTTGGTAAAATGCTATGCCCAAGATTACTATCTGAGTGCCGGCGGTGGGGTGGTTCAAATAGCCTCGGCTATCACCTCATTATGTCCGGTCGTGATGGTCAAGTGGATTAAGGCGTCTTGTACATACCAGTTGCGTTGCTTCTGGGAGTATGGGTTCGAGTCACTTCTGGGGTGTGAGTTTTCAGTTATATATATATATATATATATATATATATATATATATATATATATATATATATATATATATATATATATATATATATATGTCGTACCTAGTAGCCAGAACGCACTTCTCGGCCTACTATGCAAGGCCCGATTTGCCTAATAAGCCAAGTTTTCCTGAATTAATATATTTTCTCTAATTTTTTTCTTATGAAATGATAAAGATACCCATTTCATTATGTATGAGGTCAATTTTTTTTTATTGGAGTTAAAATTAACGTCGATATATGACCCAACCTAACCAACCCTACCTAACCTATCTTTATAGGTTAGGTTAGGTTAGGTAGCCGAAAAAGTTAGGTTAGGTTAGGTAGGCTAGGTAGTCGAGAAAACATTAATTCATGAAAACTTGGCTAATTAGGCATATCGGGCCTTGCATAGTAGGCTGAGAAGTGCGTTCTGGCTACTAGGTATGACATTATATATATATATATATATATATATATGTCGTACCTAGTAGCCAGAACTCACTTCTATGCCTACTATGCAAGGCCCGATTTGCCTAATAAGCCAAGTTTTCATGAATTAATTGTTTTTCGTCTACCTAACCTACCTAACCTAACCTAACCTAACATTTTCGGCTACCTAACCTAACATAACCTATAAAGATAGGTTAGGTTAGGTTAGGTAGGGTTGGTTAGGTTCGGTCATATATCTATGTTAATTTTAACTCCAATAAATTTTTTTTTACCTCATTCGTAATGTAATGGGTAGCTTTATCATTTCATAAGAAAAAAGTTAGAGAAAATATATTAATTCAGGAAAACTTGGCTTATTAGGCAAATCGGGCCTTGGATAGTAGGCCGAGAAGTGCGTTCTGGCTATTAGGTACGACATATATATATATATATATATATATATATATATATATATATATATATATATATATATATATATATATATATATATATATATATATATATATATATATATATATATATATATATATATATATATATATATATATATATATATATATATATATATATATATATATATATATATATATATATATATATATATATATATATATATATATATATATATATATATATTATATGTCGTACCTAGTAGCCAGAATGCACTTCTCGGCCTACTATGCAAGGCCCGATTTGCCTAATAAGCCAAGTTTTCCGGAATTATTATATTTTCTCAATTTTTTTTTATGAAATGATAAAGCTACCCATTTCATTATGTATGAGGTCAATTTTTTTTTATTGGAGTTAAAATTAACGTAGATATATGACCGAACCTAACCAACCCTACCTAACCTAACCTATCTTTATAGGTTAGGTTAGGTTAGATAGCCAAAAAAGTTAGGTTAGGTTAGGTAGTCGAAAAACAATTAATTCATGAAAACTTGGCTTATTAGGCAAATCGGGCCTTGCATAGTAGGCCGAGAAGTGCGTTCTGGCAACTAGGTACGATATATATATAAATATATATATATATATATATATATATATATATATATATATATATATATATATATATATATATATATATATATATATATATATATATATATATATATATATATATATATATATATATATATATATATATATATATATATATATATATATATATAACTTTTTAGACACTCAACCCACCAGGGGACTCGAACACTGGCCAACAAGGTGGCAGTTGCATGCTGTATCCACTACACCATACTTCAATGCCATAAAGAGAGGTAGGAATTCTGGGGTATTTAACCAACCAGAACTCCAATCCTCTCCCAGGCAATGAGATAGTGTGGGACCTCTGATGCTCTTTCATCGGTTCCTGTTATATGGGAAAACTCAGTGCCAAATGCTTAATGCACAGACTACCCTATTCCAGTAGCTGAAGTTTATAACTTTTTAGACACTCAACCTACCAGGGGTCTCGAACACTGGCCAACAAGGTGGCAGTTGCATACTGTATCCATTACACCATACTTCAAAGCCATAAAGAGAGGTAGGAATTCTGGGGTATTTAACCAACCAGAACTCCAATCCTCTCCCAGGCAATGAGATAGTGTGGGACCTCTGATGCTCTTTCATCGGTTCCTGTTATATGGGAAAACTCAGTGCCAAATGCTTAATGCACAGACTACCCTATTCCAGTAGCTGAAGTTTATAACTTTTTAGACACTCAACCCACCAGGGGACTCGAACACTGGCCAACAAGGTGGCAGTTGCATGCTGTATCCACTACACCATACTTCAAAGCCATAAAGAGAGGTAGGAATTCTGGGGTATTTAACCAACCAGAACTCCATTCCTCTCCCAGGCAATGAGATAGTGTGGGACCTCTGATGCTCTTTCATCGGTTCCTGTTATATGGGAAAACTCAGTGCCAAATGCTTAATGCACAGACTACCCTATTCCAGTAGCTGAAGTTTATAACTTTTTAGACACTCAACCCACCAGGGGACTCGAACACTGGCCAACAAGGTGGCAGTTGCATGCTGTATCCACTACACCATACTTCAAAGCCATAAAGAGAGGTAGGAAATCTGGGGTATTTAGCCAACCAGAACTCCAATCCTCTCCCAGGCAATGAGATAATGTGGGACCTCTGATGCTCTTTCATCGGTTCCTATTATATGGGAAAACTCAGTGCCAAATGCTTAATGCACAGACTACCCTATTCCAGTAGCTGAAGTTAAAACTTTTTAGACACTCAACCCACCAGGGGACTCGAACACTGGCCAACAAGGTGGCAGTTGCATGCTGTATCCACTACACCATACTTAAAAGCCATAAAGAGAGGTAGGAATTCTGGGGTATTTAACCAACCAGAACTCCAATCCTCTCCCAGGCAATGAGATAGTGTGGGACCTCTGATGCTCTTTCATCGGTTCCTGTTATATGGGAAAACTCAGTGCCAAATGCTTAATGCACAGACTACCCTATTCCAGTAGCTGAAGTTTATAACTTTTTAGACACTCAACCCACCAGGGGACTCAAACACTGGCCAACAAGGTGGCAGTTGCATGCTGTATCCACTACACCATACTTCAAAGCCATAAAGAGAGGTAGGAAATCTGGGGTATTTAACCAACCAGAACTCCAATCCTCTCCCAGGCAATGAGATAATGTGGGACCTCTGATGCTCTTTCATCGGTTCCTATTATATGGGAAAACTCAGTGCCAAATGCTTAATGCACAGACTACCCTATTCCAAATAGCTGAAGTTTATAACTTTTTAGACACTCAACCCACCAGGGGACTCGAACACTGGCCAACAAGGTGGCAGTTGCATGCTGTATCCACTACACCATACTTAAAAGCC